GTAACAGATTTGAGGGCTTCGCAACCCTTAGCTCCGCAGTCACAGAAAAATGAGCCATATTTACTGAAAAAAAAAAAAACAGATTAGGAAATCACTTAGTTTTCTAGAAATTACCGATCACACTATTTACCAAATGTAGAAAAATGAAAATCACGGCACATAACTTTTTGTTTGTTACTTTAGCCCAGGGGGGAGCGAAGAATTTCGAAAACAACCCCAAAATGTTTATTCGCTTTACCGTTATCTTTTGAGAGGCTCTGTAGCCGAAAGAGAATTCATACGAAAGGACTTCCCAAAAAAAAGCAAATTTAGCCCTTAACTAAGAACTGTCTAATAAAAAAAATCATCGGAAAGCGAAAATACAACAAAATCTCTAACCCCGGCTACTGTCACACGCAGAAAAAAATTTTCTTCAACCTCAACCACAACCATAAAGATAAGTTTTCGCCGTCTGTCTCATTTTTTCATTCCCCTTTCGTTTTTTACCCCATTCTCCTTTCGTTTCCATTCCCCTTTCTTTTCTTCATTTCGTTTATATCGTTTCAGTGACTGCGTAGTGATACACTACTCCTAGCTCCGCTATATAATTTTCATCAATTAGCTTCCTTTTACAGTACTTTTGTTCGTCAACGACCACAGTCTGAGTGGTTTTCTTCAATCGTACTATTTAAACCAGCACTGGTGAAACGTCGATATCCCATTCTACTCAATGTCCGTGTCTTTCATCTCTGGTTCAGCCTAGCATCCTAAACGGTTCGTTCGGTCCATCGACACGTTCATACGGGGTGCCAAAATTGACCCTCTTTTAACTGTATTATGACTGAGAACTTAAAATCGAGGGTTTCAGATCTACGCTATCACATTGATGAGCAACAAAAGAATGCTTGCAAATGCTTACCTGTACGCCAAATCGTGACCACGATGACAATTAACGGCACAAACGGAACAAACGCCTTCCCCATTGATCATATTACACGTGAAACAATTGTACCAGTGCTGCTCAGCAAATCTTTTACCTGTAGCAGCGAATGTGCACAGAGGTAAAGCACGAGTGCGCGTGTTCGAAGCCATTTGTTTCTGAAAAACAAAAAAAAAGTGCACGGTTTTCATCAGCATTAGTCTTATTCATCGCAGTGCTATTTTGACGATTTTCAGAGAGAAATCATAGTCGTTCATGTACGAAATCTCAAAACGAATAACACAAATATCAGACGCTCCCACCGTCCTTTTTCACTAAGTGTAGCAAATGCCGTCCAGGCTCTTGTAACTTCAACAGAAATGTATCTGTATTCAAAATCTACGCTGTTCTCAAGTTATGCAAAAAAACTTTTGACTCGCAATTTGTTGCAAAAAATCCACTTTGCATGTATTACTCATTGTACGCAAAACTTTCAGGCATCATACTAAAACACCGATCGTCCAAAACCACGAAAGAAATTGTCACTATGTGCCTAGATTTGTTTCTGAGACTCAATTTCACAAAAAAATGACCACAAAAAACAGTTACTCATTTACCAATAAAAAAATTCGTTGCCCTCAATAATAAACGAATTATACCGTAACTATATGTTTTGGAACGATGTTTGGCAGTGTAACATCCTCAGAAAGTTCTCTGGCCATTGCAGATGGACAAAGTGCGCGGCACAGGGCATCCACATAATCCAAAAGATTGCATAAAAACGAGAAGGCATAAGCCACCGAACTGATTTGTGCAGTTGAAACATCCTTCGAACCTTTCAGAATCTGGAAAAAAAAAAATGTGAACCGTACCATCGATTCTTAGGCGAAGCATTTTGCATGCAGCTTCCCACAGCAGTCAGTGCTGCTACGACCGATAATCGCTGCCAATCCTGGCTGATCACTTTGTTGCTACTCAGTGATTACCCCAATCCCATATATTCTGGTTTCGAGAGAACAAGTATATATACTTTCATGATAACCACTAAAACATGAAATTACACAAAAATTCATTTCCTCCATTACCATTTGCAAAAAGACGAATTTGCAACTCCAAGGCAATTTAAAGGGAAGCATTTGCCTCTCAAATACTCACAGTTATAAGAGATGAAGAGTGCTGAATGTTACCGATGCAGTACTGAGCCTGAGCAGGTGAAAGACCCTTAACGATTTCAGGAAAGCAAAAAACGTATGCTTTCATAAAAATAACATGAATATGGGGAAAGTTTTTTTTTTCTTTTTTTTTTTTAAATTTCTCTAAAATGCTACAGAAAAGCAAATTCCTTAATAATGCATGGAACAGCAGTACCTCACATCCTTCAGTTTGGATTACTTCCGCAAATTTTGAGAATAATTCAGTGCACTGCTCAATCAGATGGCTGTGCATTTTTGGGCCTCCAACATTTAATACT